GGAAGGTTATTGTTGGTAGGTGAAAGTTGTTGTGGAGGAAAGTGTTGAGGAACTGGTGAATCAAGTGATGGAAAACGGGGTGGATTTGGTATAGTACTTCTAGGTTCAGGGAGTGGACTTTGGAGTGTGATGGATAAATTGGTCAAGTCCCTAACGCGAGTTAGTTCACTGCGTAAATCCTCAATCTCTTGAGTCAAGCGGGCGATGTGTTCATCATGTTGAATAGTAGCTCTATCTTCGGAAGTCTTAGGATAGTCATTAGGAACCATGATATGTCCTGGACCAATTGGATCAGACGAGGTTGGATTAGTCATCGTGGTTTTCTTTCCTTGAATAGCCCAACTACACCGAGGTAATGTAGATGACTTGGACCTTGTGAAGTAAGGATGGTCGGCCAGCTCGATAATCAACACGAATCAACTTCTAGTTGGGAATAAAAATAAAACATAGAGAGAAAAACAACGTAGATAATGCTAGTTTTAAATTGAAAGAGTAAAGTCATGTTCACATAAATTCAAATAAATCACATAGCATGCAAGTCATCAAATAGAATCAAATAAGTTGTAAGAATAACATGTAAGCAAGTCATCAAGTAAAGTCAAATATATTGTAAAGATGACATATAAATGCGTCCTAATATACTTGTGACCTTTTTGTGCCGGAGGTAGGCCTAACGTAAATCTGAGGAATATATTAGCCATAATATATCATCCCATTACTCTTGATTAATTAAACAACATTTTTTTTTCAAAATAAGGTACAAAAGTAATGAAAAATTTATTACATTTCAAATGTAAAGTACTTTTAAAATAAAGTAAAGGAAATTTTGTTATGTCTGTCCTTCTTGGTTCCTTGTGGCGATATCGCTACTATTGTACTCCAACGTCAAGTCTTTGTACCTGTCATAGAAAGGTTAGTAATACCACCCCCTAAAGTTTAATTAATTTGATCAAATGGTCCATATTTAGGCATAAATATTCCTCAAATATGCACACAAATAATGATAGGTCGTCACTTGGGGTCGGAAACCCACTTCGACATTTAAGGTAACGTCAACTAATGTACTTAATACACCAAGGGTATAAAGCCTCTTAGGTCATGAAATGATATATGATCCTTGTAAAATGTGTTGGTTTAGCTCTACTCTAGGTAAACTAGGAGTGGGTTTACTAGACACAAGGTTCCCGAGTGGACTACTCGAGTGAAAAGGCTGCGCGGTCACACAGAAAAAGATTCGGACACCACGCGCATATGTCAACTCTCCTAAATTTTGGAATTTTGAAAGAAATTTGTGGGTGTGCAAAACACACCTCGCGTGTACGTGTGATAGTGTGAATTTCCAAGAAGTGGAGAAATATGAACCAGTTAAGAAAAGCAGTAACACATAAATAGTTTATAGCAAACAGACAATTAATAGCAAGTATCATGTGAAAATAATTCAAAGCAAACAAACAATCTATAGCATGTAAAAACAAGTTACGATAAATAAAGTAATTAAAGTAAGCACATAAAAGCCTAATTAAACTAAATCCGTTATGGTTAGAACCTAATAAGTCCCCAGTGAAGTCGTCAAGTTGTTATACCCCATTTTAATCGGGTCAAAATAGTGTACAACATTTTGGAGATTTCTAAAGTTAATGGACTAATTTAAGAAGTCGCCACATAATTAATTACGGTGAATTAGGGCACCTAAATTGATTAAAGTTTTTGTCTAAAGTTAAACTTCATTTTAAGGTCTACTAAACTTAAGATTCTAGGTAAGGGTTCAATTAATCTAAAGGGAAGGGGTGAGACATCCTTTAAGATCCATTAAAAATGGTTAACCGACCGAACTTAAATTACTTAATTAGGCTAAGGCGTGAAGATGTAAAAAATGTTGAAATGCTAAATGTCAAATATCTTTAAAGTCATTTTTTAGGAAACACTATGTGGCAATTTGTCTTGTTGAAAACGTATAAAGGGAAAATAGTATTTTAGACATTTAAACTTGTTTGTTGGAAAATAAGTAATGCCTCCAAAGTCTATGACTAAAAAATGGAATACAAAATCTGATTTGTACTTACAGAGATTTGTATATTTTAAAATTGTTTTTAAAATAAATCAATTTGAAAACAAAAGTTGATTCCTTTTTAAAATCTTTTGAAAGTGGAAAGCTATTATTACATAGAATAATATATTGATAACAAAATTATGAATAACTAGGTGATTATGTCTAACATGCTCATTCCTTCTACATTAGTTGTCTATGAAAAAAAAATTTAACACATATCCAAATCACACAAGTTAAACACGTAAAGAAAAACACATAAAAATTTATAATGCTAAAATATAAACTATAGAAGACAGTCCCAAGTAAATTTGCTTGGTTTGTTATTTGGACAGTTTGAAATATCTTAGACTCCATGTGTAGTATGATGATATCGAGTCATGAGACTCGCATTTGCTAGAGTTCCAAATGAAGACTCTATTTTTGCTCCGAAAAAGTTCATGCAAACAAAGAAGAAGAAAAAAAAGAGATAAGAGGAGTTAGAACAACAAATTGTCTCTTAAAAATAAGCATAACTTATGAAATATAGCAAAATTAGAGTTCTATCCACATTCAATATGTATGTAAGATAAAACTTAAGATCACACATTCATTCAACAGACATTAGCATAATTTGACAGCTAACAAAAATATTTATTAACTTAAAAGAATATTTATTAAATACAACCCAAGTTTTACTGTAAGAAATCTTTCATTTAGCATTGATAAAATATCAAATCTTGGTAACTAATATAGGAAATGAAATATAGGACCCAAAACAGTGAGCTTAATGAGAAATCCAACCAACATTCCGCTTAATAACTTTGTTGATTCAAATTATCATAAACTATTCATTTAAACAAAATAAAATCAAGACTTGTGAGAGTTACAAGTATATTCAGATTTGACCAGAGATACTTTCGGCCAAAACAATGATAAACACCTGGATGATTTATAATAGACTTCTAAGTAAGAATATTAACTAAAAATCAACATACTCAAATTAACCACAAGCCTTTGAACTATATACAAACATTTGTCACTTTCATACACAATAACAAGAGACTAATATGAACTCCTAAACTAGCATCGACACCTTGAACAAATTGGTAAAATATAACAAAGAAAGGCAGTTGATATTACTGTTTGTGGGGCAGCGAACTACGGCAGTTAGCAGCCTCGAATCTACTCGCTTACAAACAATATTGAACTCACAACGATAAGAATAAAGGTAGTTTCAAAATCCTTTGAGAAAGTAGTTTCAGTAGTGAGAAAACAATGGAAGATCTTGAATGTTAAAACTTGTCGCGGTGAGTTTTAAGCAAACAGAAAAATCGTCCCCCCTTCCTGACTAAGTTAGCAAGTACTTATAGAAAAGTTTAAGCTTTTTTATTTCATTTGGGCGGGATTTCGAGATGAATTTGAAATTTGAACGTTTGAAGCATTAGTCAAACTTCACGTGATTTGGTCAGATTCGAGTAGAAAAATGGGCACAAAATACTGACATTGTTGTAGAACTTTGGCTTTTTCTTGAAAGAGAAAGAGAGAAGGAAGTGTGTTGCTGCTGCTTAGAGCTACTATAAGATTAGGGTTGTAAGTTGGAAAAATATCTGAAAAGCAAAGTCTAAAAGGGCTTCTGTGTTTTGGCCTACTTTGGACAAATTTTCTAATGGGTTTTGCTTGATTCTGGGATCGTAAATGGACTGAAAATGGATAGGCTTTCATGGCCTTTTTCTTTCTTTAAATTAAATCATTTGACCTTCTAATTTAATAACTAGTATAACATATATTACATAAAAAGTTTAGAAAGTAAGAGACTTGAAGTGAAGTAACAAGTACTATTTTAAACAAAACGACATTAAAGTAATAAAAGTAACATTGATAAATATATATATATATATATTGTGAATATGATAATAAAAAGATGGTAATCATAAAAATAATAAAAGCTAAAGTAATATAGATAATTATGGTTGCAATAGAGATAAATGGAAAATAATATTGAATTATAAAATATTCGACCTATTAGTAATTTAGAAGCTCAACGAAATAAATTAGAAGAAAGTAAGGACAAAATTTGGTGTCATCAACAACTAGGACAAGGCATAAGAGCATCATATTCATCCCAAAGATCTTTTCGCCTAGAATGATAGTCAGCAACAAACATAGTTCCCTGCACCAGTGTGTGAATCTCTCTATGCAATTGAAAAATCCTAGATCCATTTACTGTATCAAACCTCTCTCTCAGATCTAGCCACACTTTTCGTGCATCTAAAGCATACACTACAGAGCTTAGAAGTCCTGGTCGTACAATATTCATAATCCAGCTTAATACTACAGCATTGCACTTTTCCCACTGATCAAACAGAATTGGTTCAAACATGGACTTAGGAAATCGTCCATCTACAAAGCCTAGCTTGCTTTTCCCTACCAATACAATCCTAAAAGGCCTACTCCACAAAGCATAGTTTTCTGAACCAGTTAACTGAAGTCAGATCAGAGAACTACCTGGAGTATCAGTGTGTTGAAGGAATAATGGATGATTGTGATCAATTACTGGGAATCCAGCTTGACTTGAAGTTCCATTTCCAGTGCTTGTTTTCTCAGTTGCACTTCCAATCGCCATTGTGGTGAACCTGAGCACCTTTTTCTTAGCTACTTTGTTGTTTAACCCTTCACGATCGAGAGCTCTGATACCATGATAACTCCATGAATGGAGGTTGAGAACTAGAAGCAATTACAGAGCATTTGAGAGAAGAAGAAAGAAGAGAGAATTTATTAATGTCTTAATACAATGAATCTATACATGTATTCCTTTTATACTACACTATCAATGAAAGGGTGCAAAATATCTCTTAACAACTTTGTAACTAACTACTGCCACCGCATCAGCTTGTAACTAACTTCTAAATGATATACCTAACATAACCATACAACTTGTTAGTTCTTCACTGCACTTGCTAACAAAGGTTACCTCGCTTTTCTTAATCTGTTGGTAGTACTTCTCCCAAACAGCTTTATCCATTTTCTGGGGGTAATATGGGCGAAAATCTTCCTCTGAATCATACGTAATATGGGGAAAAATCCCTCTCAAAACATTTTTTATTTTCAAGTTAAAAAATGTGAAGGTATTTTTATAAATAAATATTACTCCCTCCGTTTTAAAAAGATTGGTCTGGTTTGACTTGACACGAAGTTTAAGAAATTAAAGAAGACTTTTGAATCTTCTGGTCCTAAATTAAAGTTATGTCAAATGTACAAAATTGCTCTTAATCTTGTGGTCTTAAACATGTCACGTGGAAAGAAAAAAGTAAAATGTTACCAAAAAAGGAAATATATCATTTTTTTGAAACTGACTAAAAAAAAAAGGAGGTCATTCTTTGTGAAACGGAGGGAGTATTAATTTTTAAGACAAAAGAGTCTGATAGATTCTTGTACTTGTATGTGTCTGTATTGTGAATATATTTGTACTTAACACTTTACTAATTAAATCTCTAAACTCATTGAAACTCGATATTTTATACCTTTTCTCATATGATGGATGGTGCATGTAATAAAATCATTTCACGTCAAGTTCCACGTCATTTTTAATTGCCACATAAAAAAATAAAAGATAAAATTAAATTAGATCCCCAAAATTAAAAAAAATAAATCTCTTTCTTCCAATTTTGTTCCAAATTTCCATTCTTTCTCCCCTCTCAATCCAAAGGTTCTCACTAGTAAAATGGAGTGCCGACAAGATTGATCACACACCGCAACATAATGGTGGAATTGCGAATTAAAGATGGAGAGGGCAACTGCACATTCAATTTGGAAAAAGTAGTGATGAACCCAAACTACAGGCTGCTCTCCCAAACCCTAAAACTAATGTAGAATCAATTGTCGTCCAAATTACTTAACCTTCAGAATCTCCTCTTTCACTGGGTATGTTGTTGTTGTTGTTGTATAATGGAAAAAAGGACAATTATACCCTCTAACTATCACAAATGATATGTTAATACCCTTTGTTATACTTTAAGGTTGTATATACCCTCACCGTTACTCTTTTGGGTTGTGTATACCCTTAAAACTAACGGATGGACACGTGGCTTCATCTCAACCATTTACTCGATTTTATTTATTTATTTACGTAACATAAAAGATTCAGCCGACCCACAACCAAATAACCCTTCATCTTTTTTGTGAGGGAATATCACTGATTCCTTGCTAATCCAAAAAAAAAAAATATTCATCTAGAATAAACTCAATGCATCCTCCTTAAAGTTTAGACAACAACAATGAATCAATTGCTTTCAACAACACAAATTTTTCAACTCTGTGCAAAATTAAAATCAAAAGCTTTCCAACAAATAAAAGAAAAAAAAGAAATGTGACTAGATTTTCGAAAAATCGATTAAACCTATGATTTAAGAGAAATCGAATTTCCAAAAGAACAGAGTCACCACTTAATTTTTTTCTAGAAATTAAGAAAACTTATAAAATTTTCAACGGGTTTAAACAGATTAAAATCAATTGAAAATAAGGGGTTCGAAATTCAATGTACATTCCGAGAAGGTGCTAGGCCCTCAGAATGTCCGCTAACTTGCGGTTGACCGGCGATTTGACTAAAAATGACGTTGACTAATTTAAAAATTTAACTAAGCAAATATGAATATTAGCTATTTTAATTAAGAAAAAGAATTACTTGAACAGAAAATAAGCTTAAACATAAGAAAATATTTTTTCATCAACAAACGACTAAGTAAATATATAATAAGAACTTAATTATTTTAATTAACACCAAAGAAGAAGTGCCTAACTTTTGGGGAGCTAATTAAATCAAAACCATAATAAAATAAAAGGTTAGTTAGCACAATAAATAAATAAACAAATAAGAGTAAAGGAAGAATAAGATTCACATTTGGGCTTTTTGCCCAAATTCCAAATCTGATGGATTTTGGGCCCAAGTCCTGTCCTAAGTCTAACAATAAAAGTGGGTTTGATGCAGATTTGGGCCAAATCAACCCTCTTCTTCTTTGTTGAACCTGTTGTATACACTGACTGTATCACATTGTATATAGTCATTTTTAAGTTGTATATCAGGTTAATCTCTTCAACATCTTGTACGTTTTCTCTTTTCCTTTATGTATTCTGCTGCGTTTACACCTGTATTTCAGTATTTCTCCCCGTATATCAGTGTATACACCAGCTATATCGGTGTATACAGGCGTATCTCGTCCTGTTTTCAGCTTTTCGGAACCGATACGCCTATTTCCCTTGCTGTCCGACAGCTTCCTTTGACAAGCCAGACTCAAAACAACTCAAGAATATGCAAGGGAGAGTCCAAAATGGACTCGGATTGATCATATGCACCGAAAGAAGAGAAAATAAATTAATATCTATAGATGGGCTAACAAACTCAATTAAGAATATTCATCACATACGAGAAGAACAATGAACTGCATTTCACACAATATCAACCAAATGTTCTAACATAATTATGCTTAGTTGGAAATAATCAAAGTTGAAGTTGGACACATGATTGCTTGGTTAAGATTTTCCTTTATAAAGCTCAATCTAAGCTAAAGAAGCAGGTCAAATAAACAAGGAGCATTTACAATACTAAGGTTAATCAATGAAGACATCCAACCATATTTTTTAAGTCTGCTAAGCACTCACAAATATGCCTAATTGGATAAGATATTAAAATAAGAACCTAAAGTCATGCTTGGATTAACTAGATCACTCATGACATAATACTTAAAATAGCATCAAATTTCCAAACAATGAATTTGAATAAGTATTTTTGGGACTTTCGGATGATAAACAATGGAAACAGAAAGCTCAAGAGTGCCTCACATCTCCATGCTATAATAACAAGAACAATACATAAAAGAAAACAATCTAAAGCTAGACAAATTAATTAAGCTTGTCACAAGCCATCACATATTTGCAAGCTAAAGAAAAAGGGAACTCTTGGCAAATTTGGTATGATACGTCAACCTATCCTTTTTTAAAATAGTATGAAATTAAAGAAACAATGGCATATAACACTTGAATAGATTTGTATCCTAAATGTTATGCATTATACTATGAGGAATAAGGGAAAGAAAACAATAGCTAGGGATAAGATCTCAAACTTATCCATTTTTTAAACAATACATAGCCATGTCTTTCATAAAGAAGCAGAAGCAGATCATAGATAGGAACCACCAAAGCAAATCACACAATGAATTAAATTCACATAACATTCATCTAAATTTAGCCGGAATGACGAAATGAATTTAAGAGAAGGAGAGATTACCTTCTTCGGAGCAGCGTTTTGGGACAACAAGCTTGAACTATGAAGCTTCCCCCACCAAAATGGAGCAACACCGAATTCCGACAAGCTAGGAATTCACCCTAAGAACTTTAAAGGAGAACCAATCTCTTGATTTTTACTCTTTCTTACTGCAATTTTAGTTGTTTTTGAGATAAGAAAAGGACTGTTATTTTGAAGGGAGTCTCTGTCTCTCTAACTTCTGTTTTGGTCAAGAATTCCACCTCTAAAAATATCTCATTTAATCAGTGAACGAACAAGAGTATTTATAGGGGAGAATGGAATTGAAAAGGGGGAAACGGGCAGATTTAGATGGTATTCCAAATTTGAAATTCAAAATTCAAACCTCTCTTCATGGATGGGATAAGGATGCCAGCTCCATTTTGTACCAAATTCCCAATGAAAGAGTGAAGAGAGTCGTCTGATTTTGAGAGACACATCGCTGCTCGCATCGCTGGGCTGAGCTTCACGATTTGGGTTCGATTTGCATTTCTGGACTGGGTTTTGTGATTCTGGAGTTTGGTTCTGGGCGCTGGTTTTCGGGTTTCTTCGCATGAAAAAGAATAAGAAACGAGGTAGGTCTGTGGGGTCACGTATGCTGGAGTTGGTTGTATTGTTGTTGGGTCGTTTGGAATGGGAATTGTTTGGGCTTCTATGTATTATGGAGTGGGTTGCTGGAAAGGTTGGAGGAACAAGAGAAAATTGAGCCGGTTTTGGTATTTTAAAAATGGGTTGATAATGAGTTTAAGTGAGGTAAGAAAAGAGGTTAGATTGGAATTGAGAATTTGGCCCATTTGATTACAATTATAGCCAACTGAATTTAAGAATTTAGTTAAGTTGAGCTTAATTGGTGATTCGACTAAAAATTAAATAAGATGAATTAATATAAATTAATCAATGAGCTTCTTAATGTTAACAAAATAAAATAATTAACTTAACTATAAACTAAATAAATTAAAGTATAAACTATTATATAACTAAACTAATTAACCAAATATTTAACAAAATCTTTTTGAGACGGTTTTCGAATATTCATAAACAATACTAATTATATACAAATTTATATAAAACATATATATTATATTAAAATTATAAAAAGTGACAAAACTCTTTAAAATAACTTTAAAATATTTTGAATTTCATAAAGTCAATTATTTCAAATCGTTTGAAATTTAAGAAGCTCGAAATGATTAATTTATATTGTGGAGGTCTAAAATTGGGTGTCAACAACAACAACCACAAAAATATGGTGCACTTGGTTCATTTCATCAAAATGAATATTTTTGAACCCTTTTAACCACAACAAATCAATTTGAGCTCAAATTTTTTTATTCAATTGCAAATTCAATTTAAAGCTTGAAGTTTTATCCATCAATGGTGATAGTATTTTTAGCCCGTTTCAACAACAACTAATTAATTTAAGTTCAAATTTTCTTATTTGATTGCAAACCCACTTTTCTTGAAGTTTTGTCCATCAATGATGGTAGTATTTCCAACTCCTTTCAATAACAACAAATCAATTTAAATTTGATTTTTTTTTCTATTGAAGACCCACTTTTAAACTTGAAGTTTCGTCCATCAATGGTGATAGTATTTCCAGCTCCATTCAACAACAAATTAAAATGGGTCTCTTGTTTTTCAATGAAAGAACAAGCTACTGTGTCTTTGTTTAATGAGATTTGAAAAAAAGCTGCAAATGAAGATGTATTGAAGAACAATTTCGTCTTTTGTTTGATTTAAAAGGTTTTGGGTTATGTTTTAATGGAGGAGGGCTCTTTGTTTTTATTTTAATTTAAAATGTCACCGGTGTTTTAATTTTGGGTCATGGGTGGGTAAATGAAAGATGGGTGGGTTTTTTAATTTTAGGTAAAAAATAAATGAAAGAGGGTAAATTGTTGAGATGAAGCCACGTGTCCGTCCATTAGTTTTAAGGGTATACACAACCCAAAAGAGTAACGGTAAGGGTATATACACCTTAAAGTATAACGGATGGTATCTACGTACCATTTATGATAGTTCGAGGGTATATTTATCCTTTTTTCCTTTTATAATTTGTTCATTGAAGAAAGGGTTTTGTGTTTTGAAGATTTGCAAATGCGGTTGGTGCCTTCGGCGGTCGGAGGAAATAAGATACTTGTTGAAGACTAAGATTGATAAGCCCATTTATTTTTTGTGGAACAATAAACAAGCGAAATGGTCTGATAGACCCTTATACTTGTATGCATTTGTATTCTGAACCTTCCTACTTAACACTTTGTCAACTAAACCCTTAAATTCATTAAAACACAATATTTTAAACCCTTTTCTCATCACATCACTGTGTGTGTAATCCAACTTCTTACATATGTAATTTCATGTCATTTTCCAATGACATGTAGAAAATTAAATATTAAGAAAATAAAAAAAATACTAAATATTTAACTTTTGGAAATTTTTGAATAACAACGTTCTTCAACCTCCATATATGCTCACAATTTGAGCACCAAATTCATGTCAAATAGATGAATTTTTTCTTTATTTAACTTGAAATTTCAACTAAAAGTTCAAAAACACAAAACCTACTAGCAACAATCACAAATTTGAATTAATTTTATAAATTCATAAGACTTATTTGTTGTTCTTCAAGTTTTCTCAAACTTATCAATGGAGTTTTCAACTTTTTCAATACCCACTATCACTCTTTACATTAATCCATATCATACCTTCTCTTTTAATCCAACACAAATAATAATTTCAACTTCTAAAATAAAAAACATTTAAAATTTAGATAAAGGGGGCTGAAAAAAGAAATTAGGTGTGAGGTTGATTTGTTGAAAAGAGGAGAGTGGATTGAAGAAGAAGAAAAAAAGTATATGACAGGTGATTTCGAAAAAAAAAAAAAAAAGAATGGATGTGGAGGGTAATTTTGTTGAAGAAGAAGAGAAGAAAGTTTAGGGTTATGGGTAGGAAGAGTGGTGGAGAAGAAGAGAAATAGGGGTGGGCGCGCGGTGGGGTGGGAGAGGATTAATGAAGAAATATTTTTTAAAATTAAAAGAATATTTTTAAATAGAAAATAGTGTAATGATGCGTTTGGAAGCGAGTGCATTTACACATTTTTCCAACTCAGCAATATTTATGCCACATAGGTTTGGTCAATGGTCAGAGGGGTTTCAAATATTGTGTTTTAATAAGTTTAAGGGTCCAGTTGACAAAGTATAAAGTAAGAGAGTTCAGAATACAAACTCATACAAGTATAATTAGGGTCCATCAGACCATTTCGCCCAATAAAAATAAATTTGTATTCATGGAGATTCTTTTGTAGAGGAATAAAGAATGGATTTGCAGAAGAAAAAATGAGCCATTTGAACAAGAAGAAAGGCAACAATGAAAAAAATGGAGAAAGAATTTGGACATAAAGATTATAAGAGTAGAAAAACCCCAAAAAGCTTTTTTTCTGTTGTTCAATAATGATGAATGAATAAATGGGGAAGAAGATGACTCTTAGTAGGTGTTTGACCATGCGATACCATATCACGATATGGTATCGTGAGATGGAATCAGTGTTTGGACATGCGATTTTACGTTGATTCCATCTCATGATTGTGATTCCATATTCTCCAAAAACCATGATATGGAATTATCCATATAATTCCATATCATAATTTGAGATATTTTAATACAAAAATTGATCCACGAGTTTATACTTTGTTAAAACAACCCCACATTTATATCTACCAACCATTTATTTCATATGTAAATAAAATTTATAATCACATCATTATTTTTTAAAATTTATTATTCTCACCGACATAAAATTTATCATCACCAACATATAATCACTTTAACTCATATCAACCAATTGTTGAGTAATAAATTTATTTTTTTCATTTACACCAACACTTAATTTATTACTATGTGGGTAACAATGTTGGTTCGTCTTCTCGATCACATGATCGAGAAATGCAACTTCAACGTGAGAAAATTGTCCGTACTATATGAGAGAATTATATTAAAGACTAGTACACTACAATTTATATTCAATTTTTTCTTTATTAAATTAAAGTTAGATGAAACAATTACCTAAGTGAAGAACAAATAGCTTTGTAATATTTATTATGCGATTTTATAAATTTTTGTTTATTTGATAAGATTGAATAAACAATTGAGGCTATTTTAATAGTTTTACAACTTATGAGATTTTTATGTTTATAAGAAAATATACAACACAAAAATTTCATATCGCATGTCCAAACAAAGCTTCAATTTCATCTCATGATTCCATATCATGATACCATATCATGATTCCATATCGCATGGCCAAACGGGCCCTTAGATAAGTAAAAAATCTACATTTGCTATCTTTTTTGAAGACTTCATGCGCCTAAAAATGTGTATCACACACACTTCAAACAAAAGTGTCACAAAGGATGACAAGTAAAAAAAAGATTTAAAATACTAGATTTCAATGGGTTCAGGGATTCAGTTAGTAAAGAGTTAAGTACGAGGGTTTACAATACAAACACATACTAGTACAAGGGTCCACTAATCCTTTTGTTATTTTATTAAAGATCATAGTTATCCTTCATCATACTTTTTGATGTATTTATTTTTGACACCCAAATTTAAAGTCAAATTTATCTTCCATCTGTTAAATCTCCATATTTTCACATAATATTATCTATGTTGTGCCTACATGGATTTTTTTTACCTAATTAAATCTAAACATTATAAAATTCATTTTAACTTGCTTATAAAATTAAACCTGATCTACTAACCACCAAAATGAACTCAAAACCAAGTCTGTAACTACTATGATTTTGAATTTATGTTTGTCTAAGAGCTTTATGAGACAGGTTAATGGAACAGAGGAATGAATATTATAGAACTAAGCTTTCATTGATTGATTTGAAAATTTTGAAAGGAATATTAGAGAACATATAGGTCTGAAGTTGACAACATGTATCATCTCCACCACTCAAACAACTCCAGCTTTGTTGAAAAGTATAAAACTCCACAAAAAGAACACCTTCGTTTAACATATAATTACTCTCTTTTGCATAGTGAATTAATTGAAGACTTAGATTATTATTCTTTGTCTCAACTCTCTCTTTCACTACACTAACTCAATATATACACAATATACCACTTCTCATCTTTTCTTACACTCTTTATCTTGTATATTTCTTGTTCTCAAAATCAAAATAAGACCATCACTATTTATAGGTGATGAATTCTTCCTTGCAATGAATAGGAAGATAATTGATAGTAAATTGGATAAATGGATAGCCCAAAGGTTACATAAGTTACAAGGTATAATGAGGTGGAATAATGAATGGAATTAGTGGTAAATCATGGCAATAGTGGTTACACGAGTTACACCAAAATAATGATCAAATTCTTGTCAACTTATACCCACTAAGATATGCACTTAATATTTTGATTTTAAGATTAAAATGCATAAACACCAACATTCCCCCATTCATTTCAATATTGAAATAAGAGTGTTTCGCAATTTAGTTGAAGATAGACTATTATGCATAATGAAGGTGTGCTCTGCATTGGACCTTCACTTAGTA